TCAGCCTCCAAATATGAGAATCGCTGTCCCAGCTCTGGTTATCCTTGTTGTAAATGAAATGAAAATATATTTCTCAGCGGGAAATCAACAGATCACTACGAAGACAAAGCTGGCAAAGAAGGTGACAGCATTCTCCGATCACGGTTTGGGGCTTTAACATATGAAATCATCTGATACAACTTTGTACGGTACATAAACAGAGCAGCAGCTTCAGCAGCACAAACTGTTTAACCTTGGTGTGCATAGATTTGCATCCATTACAGTCAGACACAACACTATGTGAGGAGGACAAAGGAAAAGACTGCTTTCTATTTTTTCCCCCCCAAGTGGAAGCAAGTCACATGAGTATCTTGGAGGATAAGCAAATTCATTAACGGCTTCTGGCAGCACAGGAGACGGGATTAACAATCCATTTATGCTGAAATGTAATTGAAAATATGGCCTGTCTCATTTTTCACACAAATGTGATTGGATATGCTCCTGTTGTGTTGAGGCTAGCTGCAGTTAAGCCATAATTCGATTTTGAAACTACCGCAGACATAGAACGTTACAGTCACCTGGTTAAGATAATGTCAAGTGATATCATTAGGATAAATCAGTGAAATGATCCCACTGTTTTTTCGTTTGGCTTTTCAGCATTTTAGATTAAATCCACAGCTTGGCTGTAGAAACTGGAGTCTGCAGTGGCTCTGATAAAACAAGAATTAAACAAACGCTGCATGTGCATTGGAGAAGCATACACTCACTTGGCAGCTTACTGGGTATACATCTAATACATATTGATTCAACTATGCGTTTTTGGAAAATTTAGTTGAATCAGCGCCGCTCTAAGTCAGTTTAATCAAAAACTGTTTTAGAGCCATGTTGTCACCTTCACGAAGGACTGTTGTATTAGACTGCTTTAGTTTTTTTCTAGGTACTACCTAATAAACTGACAACTGAGTTATGGTACAGTCATGGTACACACATTTACATCACAAATGAGGTAGTTCAAGGTTAGACAAAATGATCATTCCTACTCAGCTGACCCAGCAGGTCAGGCATATATCGTAACTAAAACTGTAAAACTGCAGGGACACTAATCATGTTGGACAGTTGTCCCCTTCCATGGCAGGTAGTAAGGAGCACTGAGCAAAACATGCTAAGCAAAAGCATCCACTCCTAATCAATGTGACATTCAGGTACAGCTGCTCTCAGCTATCTTGTTAGCAATCAAAGGTCACAATAAGGACACAAAAACGTAATGTACAGTATAATGGCATGCACGGTATATTTTATCATTTAATGAGAACTGCTCTAGAAATCAATAGTGTTTGGGACCATGGTGCTATAAAGCAGCCTGAAACACCACCTGTTATTTCACAAAGAGACTGTCTGCTAACCAGGACAGTGCAAGCTCAAAGGCATATTCCATTCTCTTTCATCTTTCTGCTTGGTTATAAGGGTTAGGGACAGCTGGACTACAAACTGTTGTGAATATTCCAAATTCAGATTTATAATATTTTCAAAAATGCATAGTGAAAACCTTGCTGCTATCTAAAATTCATGTGTTTGTCAAAGTTGATGTTCAGGAGCAGCTGTGCATTATCTCGCATGATCAACCAAGTGTACGTATATCGATTGCTGTAGTAATGGCATATATGTGTGTGTGTATTTACACTAACTGGTGAAGTGTTAGAACCAAACAGCACAACACAGGCCTGAAAAACGTATTCCATCTCTCTTCACCCTAGGTGACACCTAGTCACACCTGCTGCTTTGCTGCACATCAGGAAAGCCACAGTTAATGTGCTAGTTGTTCTCTTATAGTCCCACAGAGATTGGTTACCAGTTCATTGTTTAACAAATAACTAGATGACTTCTGGAAATGTAGGAAATCACTGACTGAAGAAGACGACAACCGGGCAGGTTGACCAGATGTGGGTATTTTCATGAATGAAATAACTAAAGCAGAAACAATTAGTCATGTGATGAAAGAAATAATATTACAGTCTTAAAATAAAGTAGTGACCCTAACTGACAAGACAGGCAATGTTTATAGGAGCCAGGAGTTGTGAAAAACTGAATTTAAATGCATTTGGCCAAGGTGTATGTAAACGTTTGCCTTCAAGTGTAAATACATTAACAAGTGTAAATACACAGAGGGAAACTATTCAGAAATGGGCATTTTGAACCATAACAGACGTTAACGTAACTCAGAAGTGTTTGGTAGGAGTATGCATTTAGTGATACATCACATCATTCTCCTTCACCAACAACTATCTTCCTGTTATTGGTGAATTGAAGAGGAAGAAGTCTTAAGAAGCTACTCTGTCGCTTGTGTGCGCTCCAAACATGCATCGCCATCACTGGTGTTTAAGGTCAGAGGGGATGGAGGGTCACAAACTGATGATGGTATAAAATTTTTTATGCACATGTACTAGACTGCCATAAAATGCGCGCAATGCATAAATGACTTACCTTTACAGTTAAAATCAATGAGTCTAATATAAGAGAAGGCCTGTAGCTATACCAGATACTTTTTCCTTTCATTGTGACTTATGACACTAATATAAATTTGCCACAAGTGGCTATCTACAACAAAGAAGCTGCAGCAGAGACATCTGTAATGACAAATGGAGAAAGTAATAACTCCATTTCAGGGCTGTTATGATCGATATTTAATCCACTGAGCAGACGGAGCCTTCAGAATGGAGGAAGCCAGTTGTCTGGTTATCTCAGAAACACAAGACTGAGGCCATTCTTTCTGCAGGTGGCCTGAGAGCCGCCTGGCAGCCACTGAAGGAACACGTCACGATAAGACCCCGGCATCGGTAGCAGATGCACCACCTCCCAATGACCCTCTATTGTTTCTGCCATCAAATGGGGCACGGTGCTCATCCACTGATAAGGACAGGAACTTTACTGTTGTTTTCCCTCAGTGAGTGGACAAAAAGAAAAAAATAATACAGAGGAGAAGAGGCACCCAAATAGAAGGGGAGGAGCAGCTGAGACACAAACCACTTCTGTGTGTATTTATTGTGTCATGAATCAATATGGAGAGTGAGTATCTATCTCTTCCACCTGGAGCTGGGGAGCAGTGACAAGGTCGCCACTGATAGCCTCACACTGGTTTGTGGGGGGGGATTGAATCTAATGATATGAGGAATATAACTCATATTATACACAACCAATGGCAACGGCCCTGATTATAAGAAGTGATTTACTGTATCTCAGCTCATAAACATCCAAGCACATGACACTGCATATGGTTTCTGTTTTATGTTGATTTTTTGCATCATTAGGCCTATTTGCTGACCTGCAAATCCAGTGTGCAGCAGTAAAACACAGAGTTCATGGTTTATTAAGCATAGAACACAGTTTTTAACAACATGTGCTGAATAAACCCTACGAGAGGATTAGAAAACGATTCTCGATGCAATTGTAGTGAAAAAGCCACAACACAATCAGGCCAGAGACACTTTATTCTCTCAATTTGTTGTATGAATACAAAGAAGATGAATCATTTTTATGACAGCCAGGTATCCCACTGGGGCCAATATATACAAGTCTATGACTTCAAAAGTAAGTCTGGCTTCTTGCATGATTTAAGGACAGTTTGGAATATTTTAATTTATGTTGCTCTCAGAAAAGTCACAAATGGGAAGAACTACTTTTCCTGAGCACTGTTCAGGCAATGCTGTATTAAAAAAAGTGAAATAAATCCAATAAGGTCTGATTGATGAGAAGGTTTCTTCACTTTGAATTACATGTGTAAAGTATTTGCCAGATCAATGTTGAAATGCTTTTTTTTTAACATCTTCTATATTTTGCTTGGAACTACAAGAACTTTCTTCAGACAAATAATTATTAAATGCTAAAATCAGAATCAGAATCAGCTTTATTGGCCAGGTGTGACAGACACACGAGGAATTTGACTCAGGTACATCGGCTCTCAATGTGCAAAACAGTAATCCAGCATAAGACTGTGTAATATAACAAAATAGCAATAGTAATAATTCTGAAAATTACTGCTATGTTAAAAACAGAAAAAAATGGAGACTAACCAGAAAGCTATTTGCTGAACAAGGTTTCATACTTACCACAGCATTCTGTGCTGACCACAGAACCAACTGAATGAATAACACAGCCATGATTAAACAAATGTGTTGGTGACATCAAAGGGAAAAGAGGCCAAAAATCCAGTAATCCTTGTAGTATAGAGCATTTCCACACAACATTTCAAGTTTCCATAGTACAGTACACAAAAATTAATGTATGCAGTATTTCAGTACGTTGACCCATTTATTAAATTACTGAACCTGCTATTTTCTGACTTCTATAGATAACCTATTTAAATTCCTGACGTTCCCTACTGGAATACACCTCAGGGAAATTTTGTACCATCCTAGAAATTCCACTGGGAATTCTGTACAATGGCAAAGAATGGAGGGAGACGAGAAGCTGCATGCAAGAGGGAGGAGAGAGGCTCATGCAGGATTTCATTCAGGTCACTGAGGGCACATACACTATCTGCAGCAAAGGACCACAGCACAAAGAGATTTCTCTCTTTCAAAAACATCACTAAGTGGTTTCTAATCCCACTTCAGTAAAAGAAATACTGTACATTTAAGTCATGTGTAGCGTGTTAACTGACAATACAGGTCTTCCTGCACCACATCCAACCTCTACGTTCACCTTGTGGTGCTCACAGTATATGTCAGTGACTGAACAGTAAGGAAAAGGACACAGCATTTAAATTTCAAAATACCAAAAAAAAAAAAACAAGGAAATAAATACAAACATCAATATCAAACAAACTGGGCCCTAAAACAGGACAACAAAAGATAAGGTAACTCAAAATACAGCAAACTAACCTGCACAGTGCCTCAAATAAAATCCATCCCACTAGAAAAAAACAAAACAAAATGGGGACCATATATACTGACTGGCCAAACCAGTAACACACATAGGGAATGGACAAAGACACTAACCTATAAACACTGAACAGTCTGCTAACTAAATATTTTTTTTTACATCGAAAAAACATAACTTGACAAATAAAGTTTTAACATAAACTACAAACAAATAATGTATTTCTGCCAAACTCCTGAGCACTTGGTACAGTCCAGGCCTAGTGGGAGGTACTTAAACCTGCTGCTGCGTCAGTCCAATCTTTTCATCGGGACCGCCCACATCCATGGACCAGGAACAGGGTAACTCAAAAAGATGATTAGCACATATTAACAAAATTAACCAAATGTGCATGTTTCATTGATTAGTTGTATATGTTTAAACCTAGCCAAATGCCTAAAATCTACCTACAACTTAAATCTACACACGTGAACAAAGAAGACAAAAGAACATTACCTAGCTAATTCCACTGTGCTGTGGTGACTTAGGCCCTCACATGATGAAGGCCGGGGTGAGGCCTTCACAGTATAAACACATCACCCCTGTTCAGTCTGTCCATTGGCAGTTCCAATAAATTGTATTCATAGATGATAACTGTCTAAAGAAAGAAATACAGAGTTACTACATGCATTTCTTCTCTACATAGTTAAAGGAAAAATGAGGCCACAGATGACTGTGTAGATAATATTGTCTGTGTACTATACAGCAAAGTGCAAGTGAAAGTCAGGTCTAGCCAAAAACTACTGTTTTGGCAACAACATGTAAAATAGTGCCCCAACAATATTAAGTACAGGATTACTGCACTAACATAAAAGATGTTATGTTACAGCATAACAGATATTTTTTACCATTAGGGAAATTAGATTGCTGAATTGTTCAAATTGCAGAACAGTCAGCCAGAAATTCATCCATTCATCTGATGCAAGAACATTAACTGCTTGCGCAATAATCAGGTGTTATGACCCCTTTAAACTGGATCCCAACAACCAATCTGGCTGAAAGTCAGCCGGTTTCTACAATTAGTTGGCAACCAACAGTTTAGGGTTAAAATTGTGCACGTTTTGTGTAATGTCCATTCAGCGTAAACTGACTAAGTGATCATATTGTGGCAAAACTTGAATTTCCCTAAGTAAGAAACAGCACAGGCTGTGTGTTGCAGCAGGATACTGTATGTACACATTCTCATATTCTTCTTCTTCTTCTTGTAAGACTTCACTTTATTTCACCAAAATGCAAGAGAACAAACCAAATCTCTGCTGCAATGTTCTTCTGGACATGTGTTACCAGATCAGGTTGATGCCAGTGCAGTGCCACCACGTCCCAGACACTCGCCCCCCCAACACACACACACACACACACACACACACACACGCACACACGCTGTAATTAACTGTCTAAGCTGATCTGGAAGAGAGATCCAGTGTCAGCATGTCAGGATGGGTGGTTAATTAAGAACCTTAAAGGTGTTTGAAGGCAACAAAGAGCAAAACCACTACGGCAACAACTGCGACATGCAGAAACACTGCCTCTGATTAACTTCAATTAACTATGCTCTGGACGACAACCCTATGCTTTTTATGTTAATGCACTCCCTAGTCTAATAAAGAGCTCTCTCTTTGTGTGTGTTTTCTTTCTGCGATAGGACTGCAATAGATCAGAAGACAGAGAAAATCAAACGGCTGATATTTCTCTTCCTCAGCACATGGGGAAATGAAGCCTTTGATGGCATCGTAATATATACATTGTCAGTGATATCGCTTAATTACACAGCTGCGGACATGAGGCGCTATCATCTGTATTTTGTTGAGCCTGCTTGGTAGCCATTATCTCACTGGACATCAACGAGGTAGGATATTATTTAAAAGACAGGCAAATATGTCATATTTCTGCACCCCACACATACTGACTCTCCATTTCCTTTTATATTTTTCATTTTCTACTATTCTCCATTTGCCACTGTCAGACTTTGTCAGGCTTATCATGTTGTGTTAAAGTGCTTATGATTTTTTTTTCTGCTGCATCTAACTTTTTGTTCCCCTCTTTCAACCTCAATCACTTTTCTCTGTGTTCGAGCACCACAGTAAGTGTGTATGCACAGAGTGTGTATGTGTGTGTGTGTGCATTTGTGGGTCCTTAACCGAAGTGAGCAGCTACACAGGCATCATCTCATCCTGCTTGCCTGATTGCAGGCTGCTGTGACAAAGTGAGACAGGACGGCTCAGTGCCAGCCCTCTTGACCCCACCCCAGAGACCACCTCCAGCCAATCAACAGTCTAATCAACTGTTTGGAGAGACAATCAGAGAGAACAGCACCACAGGTAAACATAAAGACACAGAGGGAAAACGCATAGGGTGATACGGCAAGAAATTAAGTGTTTGAAGGTGGGTAAGAAAAGGGATGTAATCAAAACAGGAGAAAATGAGGCTGGGAGAGAGTCTCATTTAGACAGATTATTTTACAAACATGCATCTAACCAGGGAGTCAATTGAAAAATCAAAGAGGAAAACCAAAACAAGGCAAGAAAGCTTGCCTGTTAACTGCCATCACATGCTAGCAGATGGCTTTGCATTATTGGAAATGAAACCAATCTAATCCTCGTTTAAAGATTCTCATCACCCTCCCATTCACGAAATACTGCAGCCAAGGAAAACCAGCTGGATAATGCTGTATTAGTCTCCTCCGCCATGGTAACTCAAAGTAATCAACTCCATATCTTTTAACCTTCCAGCTCATCCGCCCACACCTCACCATCACACACTGTCTGGTAACCCCACAGACAGGTCTCCTCCATGGCAACCTGCAGCAAACTAATGATACCCACCCTCCAAGCCAGCCTACCCACTAATGAAAATGAGTTCTGAAATTAAATGAACTGTCCATCAGAAGGTCTCCATAGTCTGGAAATTATTCTCTAACATCAAGTGTGTGTGGCATCAGTGGGTTGTTCAAGCATGGACCCCACAGGTGTAGGTTCTCCCTCAATCCACCAGTAGCTCAACCAGGTCAACCTTCATGCAAGACTGCGCAAGTTAATTGACAAGCCAAATCCATTACTAGGCATCCAAACAAAAGAAAGACATTCATATAATATTGATATGAAATTTAAAAAAGGAGCCTACTACTCAACACTGGGTCATCAGCCAGGTCCAGATTACTAAAGGTTACAAGCTGCCATGTCCTGAGAGAAAGAAATCACTGCAAGTGGTGCTTGGTGAGTTAGTGACTTCTTGGATTCTTGTTTGTGAACTTGGGAAAGTCGCTAACACATAATTTTAGAGAACATGATTACAAGAGCTTCAATCCATCTACCCATCTATCTATCTATCTATCTATCTATCTGGGACATCTGAGCATTTTCTACTAGGTTCTTAAATTCATTCTGATCAACATTATACTTGTTGGTTTGACTGTGAAAAGTGTTATATTCTGGTATACTGTGTGATATTTGTGTGCAATATTACAGTTTTACCAGCTTTGAGTTGTATTGGTCCTGCTTAAATTGCTGAATGTATTAACACTGAAAGAAAAAAAAACAAGCACAATGTGTTTATCCACCTCAAAGTCTGCCCGCTTTATTTAGTTTTGGGATTGTCCTAAATTTAGTTTAGGTTGTAATGCTGCCTATGAAGCTCACAAAAGTGTGAACAAATGAGTGTGATTTATAATAGGAAATAATGTGCAAAGAGTTTTATAAATGAGGCCCCAGGTCTGATACAACTTCAAACAGAAGCAGCGATGCTATATATAATAAAACAAGAAGGCACTAACACTAAGGATTCATATTGATTTATGTCATTTAAAGCACACCTTTCAAAGTTACTTCAAACTCGGTAATGGTGCATATTCCCTGTGTACCCTCCAGAGGACAATGCACCCTATTATTTGCAGTCTCTTACATCTAATAACTCCAAGTGACAGTATCCCTGTTATAGAACGTCACAACATGGCCATCCATCCATAAACATAAAGGACAAGCCAATGACATTTCCACTGTAGACAAGGTTTCTTTCCAAGGACTTCAAAATAATACAATCCTGTCTTAAATTAAATCTAACTTTCTCTTGTGTCGCTTCTGACAGAGCAGAAAGAGGAGGGGTCTCCTCAAACGCTATCCTCAAGGTCTGGTGAAATGATGGCAGAGCTCCGTCTGTTCATTATCCCAGGTCAAGACTCAAGCTCCTGATAACAGAGCTAAGTGTGGAGTAGTCTGGCTGAAAAAAGAGGAAGTTTAGATGGCTCGGAAACAAAGTGACAGGATATCTGCATCTGTAATGAGGCTAAGGTGAAGTGTTTTTAAGGAAAATTGGACTATTTTAAAAACGGCAAGGTGAAACAGAACTGTGCTTTTTTTTCCAGCCATGGAAGAAGAAGAAGAAGAAGAAGAATTGACAGAATCATTCCTTATATTGATTTCAGAGGACAAGGAAAAGGAATGGCTTCCATCAGTGTTACCAAGGGTGAACAAAGACTTTTCAGATGTTGTGCCTACGACCAGAGATAAATGTTTGACTGAAGGCCAGTCTCCCAGCTGCGGGATCCTAATGATCTGCAGCCGTCACACTCCCATATCTCGTGTGCTACATGAGGCCCTGTGACATACTCAACGCTTTGGTCAGAGCACAGCTGTATGTTGTGGCTCCAATATTTCTCTGCAGGTCACAACTATGATGCCCCACAAAAATAAATAAAATAATAATAATAAAAATCCTATTCATGTGCTTCTGCAAAACACACTCGTACCACAGCTCAGGCTGGGTAATGATGGCGAATCGTTGGGGCCTTGGACTGAGTGAGACACTATCAAGATTTATACTGCAATTTATCGACCCAAAGAGGATTAATTACGTTTATCTTTTAATCCTCCTAAATAAGCAGGAGCAATACTCCTGGGCTTCCAGGGCTGTCAATAACAAGAAGGGTTAGCTCTCTCTGTCAAACACTGTACAGTAATATTAGCTCCTAATGTCATGGCTCTCTAATTACAAACACCCTTGCCCTCCCTTAGCTCTATAAACGAGCAGCAAGCCACTGCTGCCGAGCCAACTAGTAGGAGAGCGAACCTCCATTAGACTCGCAATTACTGCCACCCCCATTAAAAAGAAAAAAAATGGTCCCCCAACTCAGCTGCAGAAATCAAATGAAATACAAATACGAGCTTTAACGTTAACCTTTGGACACAGCATCCTTATTAGTGCTGCATGTTCTCCTCTCTCTATGCATAATATCACTTCAGCCAGCAACCAAATGCTGCCAGTCATTAAAAACATATCCATCTCAATTAGACAGTGCATTAAGACTCTGCTACATGAAGAATTCTGTACAGCTACATCCCTATTCAGACTTATAATAAAAGCAGGCACTATAAAGGAATAATCCACATGCTTTACAGATGGTAAACAAGCACAAGCAGTCTAATAAAAAAAAATAATTGAACATCCATATTATTTGCCATTATATTGCTTCCTTCCATGCACAACAGCATCTATATAATCACCATAGTCCACTGACTTAATTCTAGAGCAGTGTAAAGACTAGGTCTTTGCAGATCCTTTTGCTAATTTGCTGGCGCTGACAGATACTGTACAACTCCATCTACAAACCTTAGAGGAACTTTCCATATCAAGGTTCATTTTCCTTGCCGGTGTGCCCAGTTTATCCCTGGCTCCCTGCTCCCATTGATTTTGATTAGCCAATGCCCCTCCCCCCAGTTGGCTACAGGGGAATGCTGGTAATGACAGCCCCTCAGATGTCTTTATGTCAGCTGCAGAGCCATCCATCAGCCTGCAGTGTTGTGTAAAAATGGCTGATGTGCTACCTCTGTGTCTGATGGATGGAGTGCGTCTCTGTATTGCCAACCTTTTTTATCTGTTGAGGCAGGCCAATCCCTCTGCTCCACCTATAATCAGTTAGACCCCCTCTGATCCTTGGCAAGCGCACCAACCCCACATCTTTTCATGCTTAATGTCAGAGAAGAAATTGTTTGTTTAATATATAGTCTGTGTGTGTTGAGCTCTTATGAAAAATTGCAGGTCTCCAACAAGGTTGAGTGCATTTTTCTCCCATTTTTTTCTTTGATAGATAGCTTTTTGATTGATTGCTCACATAACCTTGATAGAGACAGCACAGCTATAGTGAGCTGGAGGAGACTAAAAACAGACTCCCTGTTGTTGGTGACCAGTAGGACATATAGAATAGGAGCATGAGGAGGAGCTGCTTCTGTGTTCAAATCCTCTTTTGGAGCAGCATGACCGGAAAACACTCATGCAGGACCAAGTATTATTTATCAGAAAAATGCACTTTGCTTAACATGTTTTATTCTCTACCACCAAACTTTTATACTGACAGATTCTACTTTCCCCACTATCTTTTTTAGTATCTTTGCTTGATTGTCTGGTGGCAACATGATGTGATCATATTTGAAGACAACGGAAGCTGTTACAGTGACTGGTTGAGCTGGGCATGCATCTCTCTGCAGGTCCTTATCTAATTTTAGACCAGGTAAGTCTTTGTTGTTTGGTCTTAGCTGCTCTAAACCTCCAGGCCCTTTAAGGAACAGCAGGCAGTTTCTGCTAGCAGCAACTTCGGTCTGTCACAACTACTTGAATGCTAATGTTAGCATTTAGCTCAAAGCACTAAATTGCATACAGTAAGTGCATCCTTCACAGAGTGGCTCTTAGTCTGCACTGTCTTGATTATTTGACTAACGTCCTGATGGTCACAGGAGGTAAAATCCTCACCAGACACAAGGAATAACACCAAATGCATCTCATAAGCTACAGTGTACCCATAAAGATAAATCTTACTGAGATATCTGCAGACATATCACTTCCAGCAAGAATGTCTTGGTCCACACAAAGTGCCACTGTCAGCTGAAATGTCAAGGGTAAGGCTCGGAATGACAGTGAATGTGATGTTTCTGTGGGAACGTGATCTCTTCTCAGAAATTGGTCTAATTTATCCCCTCGAAAGCTCTTGAACTCCTAATGACTTTTCCTCAGCTCCAGTTCACGGCCCTGCGTGACTGTACGAGCCAGTCTGTAGCTTTCTGTAGTCTAATAAAACCTTAAGTGAGCAAAAGTGTCTTTCATAAAATGTGTCGGTTCAACAGCTTTATCATCCTGGCTGTAGCAAATGTCAAATGGGAGAATTTCATTGGCACTATATCAAAGTCTCATAAAATGGCCAATAAAACTTTACATGGTCCATGAAATCATCTATTTATTACAAATGTGGTTACACTAGTTAAATGCGTGTTGATTTCTTAAACCCTTCATGAATTACTGAGAAACATACTTTGTAGAATCTTAAATCTTACTCTCATCCATATTCAAGACGCACAACTTTGATCATTATTCACTGGATCTGTGGCGTTGTTAGAGGCCAGAAATGAAAAAAATAATTAAACTGCACAAACATGTCCTAGAACATGTGTTGAAGCTGACACACACTCTTTGTGAAAAGTTTTTTCATTAGCAATTCAAGCTGTTAGTTTCTCAGAGCTTATTTAAAAAAAAAAACACAACAAAATAAACTGTTTTTCTCTGCTTTTGCCCCCTGGACAGGTTCTTTCCCTTTGCCTTTTCCAAAGAAGCATTAATTAGCTCTGCAACAATTAAGACAGCTGTTAACTTGGGCAATCTCAGCGACCAGGCCTCATGACATGAAAAATAAAAACCCACACCGGTGCAGCCAGGACAATAGATCATAAGAGGCATCAATAAATAATTACATTTAAATGTCTCTTAATGAGTGGAGTTTGCTGACTGGGCCAATGTTTATGGCCTCTGATGAAACTGCACACACAAGGCATCCATAATACAGAATGTCATAAAAGACTGGCCTGTTAATGGCTCTCAGTGTTCTGACTGCCATGATAACAGCATCCTCAATTACACACTGACGACATGCTAGAACTAGACGCACAGATATCATCTCTGTAACGTTTGCTGCACAGCAGCTTTGCATTTATTAATAATCGTAATTAGGCATTTTATGGTAGGGGACTTTGGGAAAGCACACTTTGTTTTAATAAAGATGGGGGGAAAAGACTAGTAGTAGCATCTGTCTCCACCAGAATACAGTGGAGGTGAATTTTAAAAAAATGACACTTGAAAAACTCAGCCACAGCTTGTTTTCTAAAAACAGAGATCCCGGTGCTCTGGACAAGCCACACAACACACTTTTAATGGTTTTCATGGGGAATATTTCTTCGGGAAAATATTTCCAGTGAGAATAGATCACAGTGGCGTCTGTGGATTATCCAAGTAACTTGGAGGCTGTGTTGCTACTTTCATGCAGTGACAAACAAGAAATGTTATTCAGCTCCTTTGCAAATCTCAGAGATGAATATTGCAAAATATGGTCAAATGAAACCAAAACTAACAAGGGTGATTTGTGTGAATCTACCTTTCTAATAACACTGTTTTCCCCAAATATGACTGCTGAATGTATGTAACGTAGTCGTTCACATTTTAATCACATGCCATTTGACTGTCAGCGTACCATAATGGGGTTGTGTGTGTGTGTGTGTGTGTGTGTGTGTCTCTTTTTGTGAACCTCGACGCTGACACGTGAAGTCAAAGGTATGACTGAGAAAGCAAAGAATGTTTAATCCAAGCGTGTACCAGCATGCTCCTTCAGCTGCACTAGCCTCTTATCTACATGGCTGCCTTCTTAATTATTCATCAAGGTGTGTGCGTTTCTGTCTGGGGCACGGGGACCTGTAAAGCTTTGTGAAATGATGAGCGCGTTAAGACACATGAAACAGGTGCAGCAGTTCCACAGCACAGCATGCGACCACACACACAATCAGACACAAACGCACAAAAGGTTAACACAAGAGAGTATCAGTTTGATGGTGTCATGCAGGGAATGGGTGTGAGGAAATAAGAAGACAAGAGAGCGACTGCTGATGGAGCGCTGCGGCTCATTTTTACAGTTATTGTTGTACACACACTCTCGCATGACTACTTGTAGGACAATGTGCTGTCTTTCTGTTGTCTGCTCTGTGGCATCAGCCGGGGTCCCCACTGATCGCAGCTGACAAACCAACATCCCATCATTTCCAAACACACACATCTACTGTACACAAACACACAGCTACATGTATACCAAAACGCATGTGCGCTCGCTCCCCCCCATCATGGATATTTATCACCATAAATAATGAATGTCGTGCTCTGGGACTGTGTGGTTACCAAAGCACTACCATGCTGAAGATTAAGGTGAACGCCGAGGTGTGTTTTGGTGAAGGCTCGCTGGGGCAAAACAACAACAAAGCTAAAAAGAGGAAATGAAGACATTACTGTGAATAGGCATTGAACCAACAGTTCTCCGCACACATCCACATTTTGTCAGCAGATGTAATCAGAGGAAGATGCCAAATCCACTTCAACAGGGAGGACTAACCTCTTATAGACTTACTTGAAAAACATTAAACCATTTATGAGCTTTAACAATTCTGAAAAGCTCATAAATGGTTTTATTTCTAGTCATACTGACTATTTTTCACTCCCTTAGTTGTCAAAAATCAATCATTCTTAGATCGTTTACAAATCCGTCTAAAATGCTGCAGCTTGTTTGCTGGCAGGAACACACAAGCATGAACACTTTACACCAGTCCTTTCTTTGCACCATTGGCTCCCAGTGCAGTTCGGGATTCACTTTAAAATACTTCTCCTGACCTATAGAGCTTTAAATGGTTCTGTCTCTTC